CTCTTTGTCTTACATAGCAAATTCTACTTCATTCTTCCTATATACAACATTGTATTCTTCTATCTGCAGAAGAAAACAAGTCTATATTTAGGGTGGACTGCTTTTTTTCTTCTTCTTTGTAATCAGTGGATTCCTTCTTTCTCTTCTTTGTCCAATTCTTCCAATATATCTGGGCAGGTTTCATTTATTTCTTGAATTATGTAGTCATCATCTTCTTGTTAGATCATGATTGCTGTTTGATTAATTGAGTTTTCAAGGAATGTATTTCTTACACAAGTTTGACTACTTTCCCTTCTAAACTACCTATTTTCCTTTGAATTCTTTCTTTCATAGTTTTTATTTTATTTCTTATTTCTTGATTCATGTGTTCTAGGTACTCATGGAGTCCCTTTTGAAAATATATTTATTGGAGGGTGGAGCCAAGATGGTGGAGTAAAAGCAGTGACTTGCTTGAGCTCTTCCCCAAACCCCTCCAAAAACCTGAAAAAATGGCTCTAGGGGGCAGCTAGGCGTGCAGTGGATAGAGCACTGGCCCTGAAGTCAGGAGGACTTAAATTCAAATCCGGTCTCAGATCAAACACTTGACACTTACTAGCTGTATGACCCTGGACAAGTCACTTAACCCCAGTTGCCTAAAAAAAAAAAAACGGCTCTAAACAAATGCTAGAGCAGCAGAACCCACAAAAAGACAGAGTGAAACAATTTCCAGCCCAAGGCAACCTGGATGGTTGACTAGAAAGGTCTATTGCACTGGGGTGGGAGAGGAGAGCAGTTCAGTGTGGGTCACACAGGCAAACACCGGGTCTCAGTGAACCTGGAGCAGTCCTCAGGGGATTGAATCAAGGGGAGCTGTGGTGGTTTCCAGACTTCTCAACTCACAAACACCAAAGACAACTTAGAAGGTCAGTAAGAAAGGTCTGTCAGACCATGGTGAGAGAGGAGCTCGGTCCTGGCCCCAGTCCCAGTGCAGCCCCGGGGCAGCAGCTGCTTCCAGGGCTCTTGGCCCACAGACAGAGGGGGAATCAAGTGGCAGATAAGAGGGGGATTGCGGGGATCTCTTTGTTGGTGCTGAGGCAGGATTCTCTTGCTTTGCCCATGCTTGGATCTAAGTTACAGTGCTGGGTGGTGGTCCTGGGGCAAGGAAAAGTGCTGGCTAGGATAAGTGGAGCTTGTGGTGGTGGTAGAGAGGGAATCCCCCTCATAGTTCCAAGGCAGAAAAGAGTGCTTCTGGTCACTCATAGACCAGAGTAAAGGCCAGGAAAGGAGTAAACACCTCGCCCTTGATTGTACCACCTTGGAAGAACTGAAAATTACAGGTCCCTAGAAGTATCTCTGAAGACAGCTGCACAAAACTCATTGAGTGAGTTGAAGATGAAGGGGTGATATTTGAAGATTAAAATTAAGGGGTGAGAGTATTATACTGGGAGAAGGAGAAAGGGAGAGGTAGAATGGGGTAAATTATCTCATGTAAAACAGACAAGAAAAAGCTTTTACAGTGGAGGGGAAATGGGGGAAGGTGAGAGGGAATGAGTGAATCTTATTCTCATCAGATTTGGCTTAAGGAGGGAGTAATATACACACTAAATTGGATATGGAAATCTATCTTACGATACCGGAAAATGGGGAGGAAGGGGACAAGAGAGCAGGGGGATGATAGAGGGGAGGGCAGATTGGGGGAGGGGGTAATCAGAAGCAAACACTTCTAAGGAGGGACAGGGTCAAAAGAGAGAGCAGAATAAATGGAGGGCAGTATAGGATGAAGGGAAATATAGTTAGTTTTCTACAGCATGACTACTATGGAAGTGTTTTGTATGACTATACGTATAACCTATATCGAGTTGCTTGCCTTCTCAACAAGGGTGGGTGAGAAGGGAGGAAGATAGAAAATTTGTAACCCAAAGTTTTAAAAACACATGTTAAAAAAATTCTTTTCACATGCAACTGGGAAATAAGAAATACAGGAAATGGGGTATTGACATATATCCTGCCCTACAGGAAAATAGAAGGGGAAGGGAATAAGAGAAGGGGGGGTGAGATAGAAGGGAGGGCAGATTAGGGGAAGGGGTATTCAGAATGCATGCCATCTTGGGGTGGGGGGAGGGATGAAATGGGGAGAAAATTTGGAACTCAAAATCTTGTGGAAGTGAATGTTGAAAACTAAAAATAATAAAAAAATTAAAAAAATAAAAAAAAACATGAAGGAAAGTAGCCTAGCAGTAGCAGATTTTACATTATTTTGCAAAGTAATAACCATCAAAACAATCTGGTAGTGACCAAGAAATAGAATGGTGTAATAGATTAGGTACACAATACACAGTAGTAAATGACCATAGTAATCTAGTGCTTGATAAATCCAAAGATCCAAGCTTTTGGGGAAAGAACTCAACATCTGACAAATATTGTTGGGAAAACTGAAAACAATTTGACAGAAAATAGGAGTAGATCAACATCTCACTCTGTATACCAAGATAAGGTCAAAATGTGTATAGACATAACAGGTGACATCATAAGTAAATGAGAGGAGCAAGGAAAAATATACCTGTCAGATCTATAGAAAAGGGAAGATTTTATGACCAAGCAAGAAATAGAAAGGATCACAGGAAGTGAAATGGTTAATTTTGACTATATGAAATTAAAAAGGTTTTGCATAAACAAAACCAATGCTGCCAAAATTAGAAAGAAAACTGGAAACTGGGGAAAATATTTGTAGCAAGTTTCTCTGATAAAGGCCTTGTTACTCAAATATATTGAGAACTGAGACCAATTTATAAAAATAAAAGCCGTTCCCCCATTAATAAATGGCCAAAAGATATGAACAGGCAGTTTTCAGAAGAAGTCAAAGCTATTAGAGAAACGCAAGTTAAAACAACTCTGAGGTATCATTTTATACCTACCAGTTTGACTAACATGACAGGAATAAAGACGTGTATGAGGGAATGTGGAAAAATTGGGACACTAATGTACTGTTGGTGGACTTGTGAACTGTTCCAACCATTCTGAAGAACAATTTGGAATTATGTTCAAAGAGCTATAAAAACTTCGACCCAGCAATGCCACTACTAAGTCTGTACCCCAAAGAGGTCAAAGGAAAAAGAAAAGTACCTACATGTACAAAAACATTTATAGCAGCTCTTTTTTGTGGTGTTAAAGAATTAGAAATAGAGGGAAATGGCTGAACAAATTATGACACATGATTGTGATGAACTACTATTGTGCTATTAGAAATAACAGGCAGAAAGCTTTTTGAAAAACCTGGGAAGACTTATATGAACTGATGCAAAGTGAAATAAGCAGAATGAAGACAATGGTCCAAGACAATTCCAAAGGAACCATGATGAAAAAAGCTATCTACTGAAAGAGAGAGAGAGAGAGAGAGAACTGATGAGTTCTGAATGCATATTGAGATATAATTTTTTAAACTTTCTTTTTTTCCCTTTTTCTTTTTTGTCTGTTTCTTTCTACAACATGGCTAATATAGAAATTTGCTTTACAATGACTTCACATGTATAATAGATATTCTATTACTTGCCTTGTCATGGAGGGGGGAGGGACAGAAGGGAAGGAGAGAATTTGGAACTCAAAATTTTTGAAAATTCATGTTAGAAATTTTGAGATGTAATTCAGACATATTTGATGAAATAAAATATAAATAGAATTTCTGAAAATGCTCTAAATCACTATTGATTAGAGAAATGCAAACTAAATTGATTCTGAGGTATCACCTCAAATCTATCAAATGGGCTAACATGATAGAAAAGAAAAATAGTAAATGTTGGAGGGGATGTGGGAAAATTGGGACACTAATGTCTATTGTTGGTGGAGTTGTGAAGTGATCTAGCCATTCTGGAGAACAATTTGGAACTATGCCCAAAGGGCAATCAAACTGTGCATACCCTTTGATCCAGCAATACCACTACTAGATTTATATTCCAAAGAGATCATGACAAAGGGAAAAGGACCTACATGTACAAAAATATTTATAGTAGTTCTTTTTGTGGTGGCAAAGAATTAGAAATTGAGGGAATGCCCATCAATTGGGGAATGGCTGAACTAGTTGTGGTATATGAATGTAATAATACTATTGTGCTATAAGAAATGATGAGCAGGCAGATTTCAGAAAAAAAAGCTGGGAAGACTTACATGAACTGATACTGAGTGAAGTGATCAGAACCAAGAGAACATTGTACATAGTAACAACAATAGTGTGTGATAATCAAGTGTGATTGACTTTGCTATTCTCAGCAATACAATGATCTAGAACAATTCCAAAAGACAAATAGTGGAAAATACTACATCCAGATGAGGGACTAGGAGTCTGAATGCAGATGGAATCATGCTGTTTCCACTTTTTTTTGTTTTTTATTTTCATGGTTTTTCCTTTTTATTCTATTTCTTCTTTCACAGCATGAATAATGCAGAAATATGTTTAACATGATTACACATGTATAACCTATATCAGATTGCTTGCCATCTTGGGGAAGGGGGAGGGAACAGGGGGAGGGAACAGAGGGAGGGAGAAAAATTTGGAACTCAATCTTATAAAAATGAATGTTGAAAACTAAAAACACTTCACAAAAATAGTCAGATTTAAGCAAAAAAAATTCTGTTAAGGAAAAAAGTAGTATTCCTTTGTTCTATAATAGCAATGAATTTTGGTATTAATCATTCTAGCCTGGATAACTTTAAAAAAAACCCTTTGGAATTATGAACCAGTACTTCTTGTTTTATAATTATGAATTTTAATTAATCTTAATTATTTTTGATAAATAACTAGATCTTAGGATTTATAGGAAGTGATATAGTGATTATGTAGTCCATCACCTCTATTTGCAGATAAGAAACTAAAAAATTAACCAAAACAATTTAAGGGTATTCTCATAATATAATTTCAAGCAATTGTATAGTTGGAAGCTTCCCTTTTCCATATTTCTTGGCAAATTTAACGTAGCAAAATGGACTGAATTTAAAGAAAAACAACTGATGATCCAATTTATTTTTAGGAAGTCCAATGGTATGAAAGTATTTAGTACCTGTAGTATGGCAGACTTTAAGAATTTTGTATCAACAAAAAAGCCTGAATGTCTTCAGAATCGACCAGACTTAGATCCGTCTTATAGGACTTCAACTTGTGGGAATGGCATCCGGGAAATTGGTGAAGAATGTGACTGTGGCACTAACCAAGTGAGTGGTGAAGATTTAGATTTTTTTCAGAAAGTAATTTCATGCTGCTTTTCTTTATTCTCTCTATAGTACCCCAGTCAGTCAGTCAATAAATATTTATGAAATGCCTATTTGCCAGGCACCGTGCTGGGGATACAAATATGAAACAAGAAAGACAGTCCCTGCCCTCAAAGAGTGTACAATATAATGGGAGAAGACAAACCACAAAAGGAAGCTGAAAAGATGGGGCATACTTGGGTACAGAGGTAACTGATGTGGGGGCATAATGTAGGAATCAATCAGAGAAGTCCCAAATGAGCCTAAGTGAGATGGTGAGAAATGAGAGGATGTTTGACCTCGGATTTCTCCTTCAATGGAGGTTTGGAGTTCATCACCCCACTGAGAGACAGAGGGTAGTGACGAGATGAAATACCAAGGCTAATGGGATCTTACAGATCTTACATTTCAAAATAAACATGGTTCATAGAGAAACATGTGAAAAATATGAATAGTTCATGTTTATATATCATTATTTGATATACAAAATACTTTTCTCCTGGCATAGTAAAAAAATCATTAGCTATATTTGACAGATCAAGAAACTTCATAAGGCTTAGTGGCCTCCACGTGGTCATGTGGCTTGTAGAGGTGGATCCAGCCTTGAAGCCAAGCCTTTTGTTTCTAATCTAGTCCCTATTCACCGTGCTATACTGCCTTTCAGTTTGCCTTATGTGAAATGTCTGCATTACCTTTTCCCCCTTGCCTGTTAACTTATCTTGATAGCAGTCTAGGTATACAGGAACATGGGGAGATAATTTCAGCAGTCCCATCTAGGAAGAAATATGGAGTCTCTGAATGCCTCATAAGTCTTCCTTCCACAGTTCCTCAGCCAGAGTAGTAGAAGTGAGGAAAAATAGCTACAAAAAAAGAAGCTCCAGTGAGCTTAGAAAATTGTAAAAAGTAGCATTTTGTAGACTCAATCAATGAACAAGTAGTTATTAGGTGTCTACTATGTGCCAGGCACTGGGGATATAAGTACAAAGAATGGAAGAGGCCCTACTCACAAGAAGCTCAGAACATACACAAAGAGCAAGAACCTATGAAAATATATACATTATAAACATAAACTCAACAAATACAAATATATGCAAAGAAGCTAAATACAAGAGAGTTTTGGGAGGGAGGGCGCTAGCAGTTGGGGCATCAAGAAAGGCTCCATGTAGAAGATATTTCCTGAGCTCTATATAAAAGGAAGAGAGAGGCTCTACAAAGCAGAGATGTGGAGGGATTGTGGGCTAGGGCAAAGGTACAAACATTGAAGATGGAGTATTGTGAATGATGAACAGAGCAAAGACCAGTTTGGCTGGATCACAGAATGTAGGAGGAGGAATAATGTGTAATGATACTGAAAAGATAGGTTGAGGCCAGATCATGAAGAGCTTTAAAAGCCAAAAAGAAGAGTTTGTATTTTATCCGAGGCAATAGAAAGTAAATAGAGTTTATTTAGCAGGGGAATCACTTAATGAAAATTACTCTGGCTACAGTGTGTAGAATGTGCTGGAGTGGTGACAGACTTGAAGGAGAGAGGTCAGTTAAGAAGTTATGTTAATTTAGGTGAGAGGTTATGAAGGTGTGAACTATGGTGTTATCTGTGTGAGTGGAGGGAAGGAGACAGATGTGAGAGATACTGTGAACATAGAAACAGCAACACTTGTCAACTGATTAGGATGTGGGGTGAGGGAGAGTGAGGAATCCAGGATAATATAAGGATTCTGAACCAGAGATACTGAAAGAATGATGATACCTTCAATAGAAATAGAATAGTTTGGAAGAGGGGAAAGGGTTTGAGGGAAGTAGGGATATTGAATTCAATTTTAGATATGCTGAATTTAAGACATCTCCAGGACATCCGGTTGAAATGTATATTAAGCAATTTATGATGCAGAACTGAAGCTTGAAGGAGAGGCTGGGGCTAGGTATGTAGATCTTGAAGTTATCTGTATAGAAATGAAAATTAAGCCCATCAGAACCAATGAGGTTAGTAAGAGAGAGAGTACAGAGGGAGAAGAGAAAAGTGCCTACTACAAAACCTAGGCATAATGTGACAGATAAGCCAGTAAAGGAGAATGAGAAGGAGCAATCAGAGAGGTCGGAAGCAACCCAAGAGAAAGGAGAGTTAGGAAAACCCAGAGAGAAGAAAATATTCTATAAAAGACAGAGGTCAACAACGTCAAATACAGCAGAAAGATTAAGAAGAATGAGAACTGAGAGAAGACCATCCGGTTTGACAAATGAGAAATCATTAGTGACTTTGGAGAGAGGAGTTTCAGATAAATGATGTCAGAAGCCAGATGGCAAAGGGTTAAGTAGTGGCAGCACAGGAAGTAGAGGCAACAAATGTAGACAACTGAAGAGGATGGGTAGGGTTCAGGAAAGTTTTTTGTTTGTTTGTTATTTTTGTTCTGTTGAGAAAGACTTGAGTATGTTTGAAGGAAGTAGGGAAGGAATCAGTTTACAGTGAGAGGTTGAAGATTTAGCCCAGGGTGGGATGGGGGAAGGGATGGTGCTAGATGATACAATCCACTCAAGAAGACTGAAAGGAATAGAATAAAATACATATGTAGAGAAGTTGGCTTTGGCTAGGAAAAGGGCAAACTCTTTGTCAGAGGTTTGGGAAAATGAATAGAGAAGAGATAAATAATGTCAAAGGGTTTTGAGATGAATAGTGTGAGAGAAGAGGGAACTCGTGATAAATGGCCTAGTTTTTTTAAGCAAAGTGAGAGCCAAGGTCCTCAGATGAGAAAGAGGGGAGAGGAAAGAGTGTAGGGGACTTCATGAAGTCAGTCAATATCAGTCAATAAACATTTATTAATTAACTGAGGAAGTAGCTATGCTAACTGCAAAAGAAAGGTAAGAGAGAGTCCTTGCTCTTGAGGATTTCAAGGTCTTGTCAGGAAGACAACATTCAAAAACTATGTGCAAACAAGCTATATGTTGGATATGTTATAAATAATCAATAGTGAAAAGGCATTGGAATTAAGGGAGATCCAGAAAGACTACTTATAGAAGGTGATCTTTAAGCTGTAACTTGAAGGAAATAAGGAAGATCGAAGACAAAGATGAGAACAGAAAACATTCCAGGCATGAGGGATAGTCAGTGAAAATGCCTAGAACTGGGAGATGTGGAATGTCTTATTCAAGGAACATCAAGGAAGCCAATGCCCAGTACTTGATGGGGTAAAGAGAGGTAAGAAGATTTGAAAGATAGAAGGTCAGGTTATAAAGAACTTTGAATTTCAAAGAGAGGATTATACATTTGGTCTTGGAGATGACAAGGCCATTGGGGCTTATTGAGTGTGTGTGTGGGGGGGAGGAGGGCATTGATCTAGTCAGAACTGTGTTTTAGGAAGACCAAAGGTAGTTGGGTGGAGGATGGACTGGAGAGGGAAGAAATTTGTGACAGAGCATCCAGACATTTTTTGAAGGTTAACAGTTATATATACATATATATATATATATCTCTCTCTCTCTATATATGTGTGTGTGTGTGTGTGTGTGTGTGTGTGTATAAACATGTTATAAACATGGGAATGTTTATAGGCAGTAGGAAAATAACCAGTAGACAGGAAGAGTTGAAGATAAATAAGAAAGTAGGGTTGATAGCAAATATCTCTGATAAAAGCCTCATTTCTCAAATATATAGAGAATTTAGTCAAATTTATAAGAACAAGTCATACCCTAATTGATAAATGGTCAAAGGATATGAATAAGCAGTTTTCAAAGAAATCAAAGCTATCTGTACTCATATAAAATATTTTAAATCACTATTGATTAGACAAATGCAAGTTAAAACAACTCTGAGGTACCATCTCACGCCTATTAGATTGGCTAATGTGACAAAGAAGGAAAATGATAACTGTTGGAGGGGATGTGGGAAAACTGGGACATTAATGCACCATTGGTGGAGTTGTGAACTGATCCAGCCATTCTGGAGAGCAATTTGGAACTATGCCCAAAGTGTTATAAAACTGTGTGGACCTTTTGACTCAGCAATAGCACTACTAGGTCTATATCACAGAGAGATTTTTAAAAAGGGAAAAGGACCTACTTGTGCAAAATTATTTACAGTAGCTCTTTTGGTAGTGGTTAAGAATCAGAAATTGAGGGGATGCCCATCAATTGGGGAATGCTGAACAAGTTGTGGTATATGATTGTAATAGAATATTATTATGCTATAAGAAATGATAAGCAAGATATTTTAGAAAAACCTGGAAAGACATACATGAACACAGTAACAGCAATATTATATGATGAAGAACTATGAATGACTTGGTTACTCTGATCAAGGCAATGATCCAAGACAATCCCAAAGGACTCATGATATAAAATGCTATTGGAGAGGATTCCGGGAAGATGGTGGAGTAGGTCAGAAAATCCCAAGGTCTCCAGATTTCCCACACAAACAAGATAATAATAGCACCCCAGGGCAAACATAGAGGGCTAAAAATAAATAAGAGTAGGAGCAGAACAGTAGTCCTCCTGGGACAATTGGAGAAGATCTGAAGAAAAATCCCAGGATGATGTTGGGTCCCTGTGAAGAGTAAACACCTCCAGGCTAGGTCCCCTTAAACAACAAGCAGCAAACCCTGGGGTTAGCTGGGTTGGGAGGCTGCCTTGGCTCCAGCCACAGGAACTTTTACTCCTGGGACAGTGAGAGGAGTTGGGCATCTGAGCTGGGGATGATCACAGGAACCTCCACTGATAAGGAACACCAGACCCATCTGTGCTGTGGAGATGTGGCTGGGGGCAAGAAGGAACCAGTACAACCCAGTGAGTGCAGAAGCAATGGGGTGGTGGGGTGTGGGGGAACACCACTGGCTATGGGCACTTACAGGAGGCTGGAGGTCTGGTTTCAGTTCCAGGCCAGAGGGGACAACTGAAGGAGGATCTGAGGCCAGAGGCACCACCCACCATACTCCAGGGCTAGAGGTGATTATAAAAACTAAACTGCTACAAATAAAAACAAATGAACAGGCAAAGAAAAAAGAACCCAACCATAGAGAATTACTAGGGGAATAGAGAACACCAGGGTTTATTTTCAGAAGAGGATACTGAAGCAAAGAAACCCCCTTCTACCCCAAAAAGTAATGTCAAATGGTCACCTGCCCAAAAAGAATTCATAGAAGAACTTAAAAAAGATTTTAAAAATCAAATGAGATTGAGGAGAAAAACTCAACTGAAAAAAAAAAAAGAACAACCTAAGGAAAACAAGATTAGGAGTAGAAAAAGTCAACCAATTTGAAAAGGAGATCCAGAGTGTTAAGGAAGAAAATGACTCCTTGAAAATCAGAATTGGGCAAGGGGAAGTTAGCAAAGTTATAAGAGATCAAAGAATAACAAAATATAAAGAATGAAAAAATAAAAGAGAATGTAAAACATCTTATAAGAAAAACAACTGATCTGGAGAACAGATCAAGAAGAAAAAATATAAGAATAATTGGACTACCTGAAAGCTACGATCATAAAAAGAATCTTGATATAATAATACAAGAAATCTTGAAAGAAAACTGTCGTGAAGCATTAGAATAAGAGAGAAAAGTAGAAATAGAAAAAAATCACCAATCACCACCTGAAAGAGATGCTACAAGGAAAACCCACAGGAATATCATAGTCAAGTTCTGAAACCCCCAGCTCAAGGAGAAAATATCACAAGCAACAAGAAAAAAAACAAGTTAAATATGGTGGTGCCACAATTAGAATCACACAAAACCTAGCAGCAGTGACACTAAAAGACTGCAGATCTTGGAACGCTGTGTATCAAAGAGCAAAACAACTGGGGTTCTGGTTGAAAATAACATGCCCAGTAAAACTAAGAAAATCCTGAATGGAAAGAAAATGGATATTTAATGAATTGTTAGACTTTCAGGATTTTTTAAAACAAACACAAACAAACAAAAAACCCTGAATTTAATAGAAGATTTGACATACAAGAGAACTTTTTCAACAGCTGCCTGAAATTTTGCTTGATATTCCCATATTTGGAAGAGGTCTTCGGGTCTTTTGCATTTGGGTGCTTTTTTTTAAAGTGTGTATTCGCTGCCATTTTCAAATTTCCATTAGTTAGAATACTGATGTATTAGCAAACGATTCCAGGCATAGGTGAGGAACAGCATGGAAGAAAATAGAATTGGAGTGTGATGATGAGTCTGCCATTGTTTAGAATAATAGTGCCTTCTGATTCAGGAGCATGTAAGTTAAAAAGAAAGAAGCCTACTAACCTCCTACAGTGTATATTGATTTGTGTAATAGGTGGCCAGAAAAACATTAAAGGATTTTCTTCTGATTATTTTATATCTTGAATTGAAGACCCTGAGTGAAATATACACATTTCAAGTAAAGTACAAGGGTGTGTGTCATTGTTATGTGTATCTGTTCCTTTTCTGTCTTTTGAGCTTCTCTATCCTTTTGGAGAAGTCATTTTAAATAGGCTTGAAATAGTCTCTAGGGCCTTGAATGATTCTCAAGGGCCACAGAGTGTGCTGTTCTATCAGAAAATTTTAGAGAAATTTTGTCCTAAATAAACAGAAAACTCTCAATTGTTTTTGAGTTGTATGACTTATTAATAACATGAGTTAATCCATTTTAGATAAAATAAATGCTTACTTTATGTTTGTATGTGATATTAAGATTATCTTTCGTATATAGTCTTTAAAAACAGTTTTCATTAATATTAAAATATGATATTTTAAACCAAAATTAGATTGGTCAAAACTTTATAATATTTTATTTATTTTCAGAGTTGTATTACATGTTGTGATAGTGCGAAATGTAAACTGAAAAGTGGAGCAGTGTGTGCCCAAGGAGAGTGCTGTCAAAACTGTCAGGTAAGATCTGTGTTATTTCAGATGATAAATGCCTATCCATGATTTTTTAATACTTTTGAATTAATATTCCATTTTATTCTGCATCCCTCCCTGTTTTCCCTCTCCCTTCCCCTTGTAAGTTTCGTGCAAGAGGTACACAATGTAGAGATCGTGCTGATTCGGACTGTGATCTCCCTGAATATTGTAATGGATCTTCAGAATTCTGTATGCCTGACTTACATGTTCAAGATGGACATGATTGCCGTTCCAGAACGGCTTATTGCTATAAAGGAAAATGCCCAGATCCAAATGCTCAGTGTAGAGAAATATTTGGTCAAGGTAATTATGATAATTATCTATGTTGCCCCAAAGGCTTAAAAAACGTTGAGAAATGGATAAATCTATATCTTAGTGTTTATAAAAAAATACATTTGAATTCTATTTTTAAAAATCTGTTAATTTTATTTTTATGTTATAAGTAACTTACCTGTCATTTTTTTAGATTCATCTCTCGGTGCTACTGCTTGTTTTGAAGAACTAAATAGTAAGGCAGATCGGACAGGACACTGTGGTCGTACCATGTCAGGATACATACAGTGCCGATGGAGGCATGTTTTTTTTTTTAAATTTAAAATGTTTTTTCCTCAGCTATGTGTAAAGACAATTTTTAATATTCATTTAAAAAACTGAGTTCCAAAATTTCTCTTTCCTTCTCTCATTTCCCCTTTCCCTGAGACAGAAAGCAACTTGATACCAGTTAGACATGTTCAGTCAAGAAAAACACATCACCATATTAGTCATGTTGTGAAAGAAGACACAGACCTAAAGGAAAAAAAAAGATTAAAAAAATGCAGAAAGTGAAAAGTAGTATGCTTAGATATGCCTTCAAATTCCATCAGTTCTTTCTCTGGAGGTGGATAGCAGTTTTCAACATAAGTCCTTTGGAATTGTCTTGGACCATTTTTCTGCTAAGAATAGCTGTCATTTATTGTTGATCATTGTAAAGTACTACTGTTACTGCATACAATGTTCTCTTGATTCTGCTCACTTTACTCTGCATCAGTTCACACAAGTCTTTCCAGGTTTTTCTGAAATCATCCTACTCACCATTTCTTATAGCACAATAATATTCCGTTACAATCATATACCACAACTTGTTCAGGCATTCCTCAATTGATAGGCATCCCCTCAATGTCCAATTTTTTGCAACTACAAAAAGAGCTGCTATAAATATACTTGTACAAATAGGTCCCTCCCCCTGTTTTGAGCTCTTTGGAATATGGACCTGGAGAACTATTCCTGGATCAAAGGGTATGCACAGTTTTATAGCCCTTTGGGGACAGTTCCAAATTGTTCTCCAGAACGGTTTGATCAGTTTACAACTCCGCCAACAGTGCATCAGTGTCCCTGTTTTCCCACATCCCTTCCAACATTTATTATTTTGCTTTTCTGTCATATTAGCCAATGTGATAGCTTTTTTGTCATATTAGCCAATCTGATAGGTATGAGGTGGCACCTCAAAGTTGTTTTAATTTTCATTTCTGTAATCAATAGTGATTGAGAGCATTTATTTATATGACTATAGATACGCTTTGAATTCTTTGTCTGAAAACTGTTCATATCCTTTGACCATTTATCAATTGGGGAATGACTAGTATTCTTACAAATTTGACTCTTACAAATTTGAGGCCTTTATCAGAAATACTTGCTTTAAAAATTGTTTTCAAGCTTTTTTTCTTTTCTTTTTATCTTGGTTGCATTGGTTTTTGTTTGTGTGAAACTTTTTAAATTTGATATAATAAAAATTATTCATTATACATCCAGTATTGCTCTCTCTTTTTTGTTTGTTCATAAATTCTTCCCTTTTCCATAGATTTGAAAGGTAAACTATTCCTTGCTTTCCTAATTTGTTTATAGTATTACTATTTATATTTAAATCATGTACCCATTTTGATCTCATCTTGGTATACAGTATGAGATTGGGCTATACCTAGTTTCTGCCATACTATTTTCTAGTTTTCCCAAAAGTTTTTGCCAAATAGTAAGTTCTTGTCTCAAAAGTGGGGGTTTTTGGGTGTATCAAACACTTTATAGATAGATAATTTACTACTGAGTCTTGTGTACCTCATGTATTCCACTGATCTTTGAAGCAGTTGAAGGAAGAGAGGAAACAAGAAAAGAGTGGTGTCTCTAACAATAAGGGAGGAAAGGGTATCCAGAAGGAAGAAGAGACCAAAAGTACATATTACAGAGAGGTCAAGAAGGTTGAAGACTGAAAGAAAGTATTTTATTTAGTAATTAAGAGGTCACCAAAGGTTGAATAAAGATTAGCTAGCAAAAGTGGAAGCATTGGATGGGGATAACTTTTACAAGAGTTTGGCTATGAAGGGGAGGAAGGAGATAGGATAGTATTTAGATGGGGTACAAGTGTTGATATAATTTTTTTTCTTGAATTTGAGAAACCTGAACATGTTTATGGTCAGGAGGAAGTCATTGGAGATGGATAGATTGATGAGATGGTGAATATATCTCATTTGATATCCTAGACAAACACTAGATAACTACTTGTCAGGTATGTTGCAGAGGGAATTCTTTTTCAGGCATTGGTTGGGTTGGATGATCACTAAGACCCCTCCAACTCTGAAATTCTGTGAATCTGTGAAAATGAATGATAGAGGAAAAATGATTATTGAAACAAGGTTCCAAAGGAGGTAGGAGAGGATGAAGCCAAAGGTATACCAAGAGGAATTAACATTACCTCTTCTTCTGTTAATAGAGGGAAGGAGAAAGATAATGATGTCCACTTCAACAGTAGCAAGATGGAAATTGAGGAAGATCCGCTAAAATGACCCAAATATTCTTTCTTAAGTAATAGTCTAGTTTATTTGCTGTGAATGTGGTGTGTGTGTGTGTGTGTGTGTGTGTGTGTGTGTGTGTGTTTGTGTGTATGTGTGTGTATGTAGTGGAGGTGGAGATTGTTAGGTTGGAATCTGGAGGAGAAAATAAAACTTTTGGAACAATGGCTATGGTCAGGAATGGGAAACCTGCAGCCTTGAGGCCATATGTGGCCCTCTATGTCTTGGGCTGAATCCAAACTTCATAGAACAAATCTCCTTAATAAAAGGATTTGTTCTGTAAACTTGGACTCAGTCAAAAGGCCACACCCAAGGACCTAGAAGGCCACATGTTCCCTATCCCTGGCTATGGTTAAGGAATGTAAAAAGTAGGAGCTAAACCAGACGGAAAGATAAAAGGAAAATCAGGACAGTAGAAGAGTTTTTGTTCAGTCCTTAGTCATGTCAGACCCTTTGTGATTCCATGGACCATACTGTCCACGGACTTTTCTTGGCAAAGATACTGTAGTGGTTTGCCATTTTCTTCTCTGGTGGCAGAGTTTAAGTGATTTGTCCAAGGTTACACAGCTAGGAAGTTTTTGAGGCTGAATTTGAACTCAGGTCTGAGGCTAGTGCTCTATCCACTACACCACCTCACTGCTTCATAAAGGAGTTAGGGAAGCCAAACACAGACTTTAGAAACTATTATATAATTTATCCTTTTTCTTTGGTGTGCCCTTCAATTGTTTAATATTGGCAATAAAATTGATTTATTCTTTTTAAAGAATTCATTTTTTAGGCCAGAACTTTAAAATGTATTTTAGTTGTTATAAAGCTAGAATATTGTGATCAAATGCTAAATGGATAATAATAATTTTTTCTCCTGACACATTTATAGGGACTTCCTCTGTGCAAAACTAATATGTGACTTTAAAAGTCGACAGCCATTTTATAATACAAAAGCAGCTACCATTTATGTTAATGCAAGAGGAAATCTGTGTATCACCTTAGACTACATAACATATGATGATTCTCAAGACCCCATGTGGGTACGTGATGGAGTCGCTTGTGGTTATAAAAAGGTAACAACAATTTATTTGTATATCTTAAAAAGTGAGTCTGACTTTCAAGACAATTGGAACTTATTTTTTTCTGTTATCCTAAACTTAAAACTTAAATTCTGTAAACTTTCTCAGATCCTTAAAAAATAATGTAAGGTCTACAGTATTTTTTGATGTACATAGATAGAAGACATAATAGTCTAGGATGAGGTGAGATCATTATGGATTGGAGTTGAGCAGATAATCTTTCTGTTTTCATTGCAACCTTGGGGGTGGATGTAGTGGAGTTAGCAGTTTTAACCTTCTTTTCTTTAATTGTTCAAGAATGAGAGATGGAAATAAAAAAAAAAGAATGCCTTTAGGGGGATGAACTAGTATATATCTCTTCTAACAGAGAGATGTATCCATCCCATAAAGTGACTCTGATTTAACTCATAAATACTTTTCTGGAGGTGGGCTCCTCATTCTTGATGCAAACTTATCCTTGGCTATATGTATCCCTAGCTACTTCTTGACTTAGGTCTGCTTTCCAGTTACCTAGATAACTGAGGGTACCCTTAGGTTTATGGAATTCTTTTGGTCCTAATTTCCTTTGATTACATTTTGGTACTAGGTAAAACTTGGGTTCAGAATTGCCATTCCAAGCAGTATGTCTTTCTATTATCTAAGAAGTATAATAGATAGACCTATGACTACTTCCAAGACAAAGAAATAAAAAGGTATTTAGGAAAGCCCAGCTAACCTCTTCATTAATTGTCATTCCCATTGCTTCTATGTAACTACCAAGGGCCAATTCATTCATCAAATGCACCATTCACATTCATTATTATGATTTCATCACATCTTTCATGAACACTTAATAAACCATCTACTGACAACATACCTTTGTCAATAGACAACTAATTCATCAGCATTCTTACCATATTAATGATAATTTCAAAAAATCAATTTAGTTTTCTAATTCACTCAACTAAAATAGATATACTCAATCCAGTATGTGGAATCAAGCTCAAAACATGGTCATAAGCAAGCAACCTCTATAGAAAATATGTAACTATTTTCTTTCCTATAGCACTGTTAGCAAGTGTCTTACTAATTAGCAACAGTAGGTGATGTCTTCAAGAAATGGAGGGAAAAATCATAAAGGAAAAACAGTAATATCTGGCATAGTTAACAATGATTGGGGCCAGTGACATCAGAAAGCAAGCTACCATCAAGACCATCACCCCTTTATTTTTCTAATCTTTTCTACTCTGGGTATGGCATTTTCCTGACTAAGCAAGATCCCAACTTATTCTGCTCTAGAGACAATTATGTCTATTTAATCCTTACAGTCTTTTTTATAGTCTGCTCAGATTTTACTGGCCAAATGTATATTACAAAATGGTAGTAGCATATTTCAAGAAACATTCCAAACCTGACATTTCTAGTCCTTTCTCCATACAAACAAATCTCAAAGCCAAATATAGTAGCTTGGAGGCAAAGCCTCCTCAGAAGTCTGCAAACTTTGGAATTAAAATCTGTATTTTTTGTATCATTGCATAAAGGAATTTCTTTAAAGAGCCTCTCGGAAGGTAAGAAGAGGTGTGAATTTGGAATCACAACCTAGAAAATCCATTTCTGCTTGGTTTCTTTAAAGCCCTTTATAATATGACTCATTCCTACCTTTCCAATCTTGTTATACCTTAAAGCCCTCTTACCCCCCACTTACTGTGTGATCCAGTGACACTGGGCTCCTAGCTGTGTCTTGCACAAAATACTGTATCTCCTGACTCGAGGCATTTTCACTTCATTTCAACTTTACCATGCCTGGAACATTCTCCTTCCTCATTTCTATCTCCTGACTTCCCCCTTTCTTTTATGTTCCAACTAAATTCCCACCTCCTACAAGAAGCGTTTCCCACTTTTCTTAATGTGAGTGCTTTGCTACTCTGTTGATTATTCCCTATTTGTTCTCTTTATAGCTTGTTTGGACATAGTTGTTTGCATATTGTTACCCCAATTAGACTTTGAGATTCTTGACAGCAGGGATTTTTTGCTTTTCTTTGTATCCCCAGCATTTAGCATAGTGCCTGGCATACAAGAAGTGCTTAATAAATGCCTGTTGATTGACTGGGCATAAGTGAATATATGAATCAATGAAAAATATTTATCAAGTGCTTACTACATGCAAAGCATTGTGCTTAGGGGTTGACTTTGAGATTCCTTTCAGACATCCAGTTTGAAATGCCTGACAGCCAGTTGGGGATTTGGGACTGGAGCTCAGGAGAAAAAAAGGATGAATTTTTAGATCTCAGAGTCATCTGCATGGAAGGGATAATTAAACTCATTGAGCTGAACCGTTCACAAAATATAGAGAAAGAAGGGGCCCTAGGATAGATTCTTCTGGTACACCTGCAAATAGGTAGTGTGATCTGAATGATGGTCTGCAAAGGATACTGTGGAGTGATCATATAGGTAGTCAGAGAACCAGGAAACCTATTACACAAAAATCCAGAAAAAAGAGAATATCCAGAAGGAGATGGTAGTCAACATTGACAAATGTTGTGGAGGCAACACAGATAAGGACTGACTGAGAAAAGACAATTAGAATTAGTAATTAAGAAATTATTGGTAGTTTCAACTGAGTGATGAGATTGGAAGCCAAATTGCAAAGAGATGAAAGGTGAGTTAGTGAAGAGGAAGTGGAAACAGTGAGTATGATCAGCACTTTTTTTCTAGTAGTTTGGCTGAGAAAAAAAAAGAGGTGTAGAATGCTAGCTTTAGGGTCCAATGAAGGATTTTTTTTGAAGGACAGGAGGTACTTGGATAAGTTTGAAGGTATAATAGAAGGAACCAGCAGATTTTTCCCTTATTGGGATATTCTAAGATTTAATCTCCTTTTGTGAGTTTTGTATATAAATGTTATTTTTTATGCCCTCCATGACTCACATACATGGTGGGCTTTTAGAAACAAAAACTGTTAACCCAGCTAAATATATGATTTTTGACTTGTACTTCTCCCTTCTCCCTCTCTTCGACATTCCTTTGAGGAGCTCTATTCCTCAAAATATTAATTTGTGGAAATTAAAATATTAATCATGTGGAAGTGATACAGTTAGGAATCTAGGCTCTGCCTTTCACTCCCTACATCTTCTTGGGGCAACTTAGCTCATTAGAAGGAAGTGTGGTAAAGAGCATTGGCTTCAAATTTGGGATTGTAGGTTCAAATCCTGCTTCTTAGAGTTTATCATCTTTGTGAACTTGCGCCTCAGTTTTAGATAAGGTCCCTAGAAGCTCAAGCTCTTTGATTCTGTAATCCTTTAATCTCTCTAGACCTTAGTCTTCCACAACCATAAGATCTAGAATCCTCCTCTCTAGGGGTGGAATATGATCAAGTGAAACACATACCCTATCTAAGAATAGATGCTCCTGAAATGCCTCCTTTCCCTGAGAAACCTTTAGTCCAAAAAACCACTCCCTCTCCTCCTGTCCACTCTCCCATGCAGGAGGAGAAAGACTTTTGAAGTTTCCTACCCTACCCAGGCAATGTTTGGTCCAAAAAATACACCAAAGTGTGAAGTCCAAAAAACAAGAGCTTTCTTTACAGCCTTGTCCAGAGCCAGCTGTCTCTGGACCCTCTCATTCCCTTCATTTTTATATTTCCATTTGAAAGACTGTATAGCTACACCCCCAGATGTACTAATTAATGTTAATACATCCTTATAGTCCCAGACTCCCTCCAGAAATATTCATTAATGAATGAGGGAGATCAATGTGGAGGGAGAAGCACTAGATTTCACAGCAGAAGATTTGACCTGGGCTAAGTTTGTGCTCTGCTATTCTCTACCTGCATATCTTGCTACTCTCTCAATCTGAACTGAAACTTCTCATCTTAAAAATGAGATGGTTGTAGCAAACACTTTCCAAATTTCCTTCCCTCTCCATGTACATGATCTTATTAACTAACCCTTCCCCATTCCATTCAACCTCTAGGATAATTTTCTGTCCACTTAATGGGCTTTTCAGTCTCTCTCTCTCTCTCTCTTTTTTTCTTTTTGGTTTATTTGTTTGTTTTTAATGAAGCCTCAAGGAAGTTGAGACTTCTAAAGGAATTGCTTCATCTTTTCTGTGTATGCCTCAGTATAAATGTCTTTATAGATTTCTTCATTTTCTCTTTGTATTTTTCTTTCAATGGCCTTTAACAATGATACCACCTTTAAGAAAATTCAGTTCTTCCTTCTTCCTTCATCCTTGGCTCTGAGGCCATTTTCAGCTCTTAGATTCTTTGGTTTTGTGATGTCCCCCTAAATCTTCACTCTTCTAGCTTAAACATCCCCAATTCTTTTACCAACCCTTGATTTTGAGGCCCTTGATCATTCTGGTCCCTCTCTTCTGTTTGTTTTTCAGTTTATCAATGACCTTTTCTCAATATGTAGCATCCAGATATCATCTAATAAGGGCAGAGTACAGAAAACCACTTATTCCAGATACTATACCCAAGATCGAATTAGTTGTCTAGATTTCTTTGGTTCTGGATACATAACATATTAAAAACTCACCTAGCTTTGTGTTGTCTACAACACGTGTACATGTTGTAGCAATATGTGTACATGCTGACTTTTTGTTCTGGTTGCTTCCTTTGCTAAATGACCATTAACTATCTCTAGAATTTTGCCAGTAAAAGTCAAGATTCATCGCATATAGTCTTCAGATTCCACTGTCTCACTCATTTTTGGAAATTGGGACAACTATCTAATCTTCTTCCATCCTACAGCACTGCTCTCATTCTTCATGATATTTCAAAGTTGACCTAACAGTGACACAGGAATCACATAAGTCAATTCTTCTGGGAGTTGGGATGAAGTTCATCTGGGCCTTTGAATTTAATCCATTAAGGTTAGCTCATCATAATTTTTTTCCTTTTTTTCTTTAGTTTTTTTTTAATAAATTTATTTATTTTTAGTTTTCAACATTCACTTCCTCAAGATTTTGAGTTCCAAATTTTCTCCCTATCTCATCCCTCCCCCCACCCCAAGATG